CCTTACACGCTAAGCGTGCCATCCAAAGCAAAATAAGTAGAAAAAAACAGAAACAAATAGGATTAAAGTGAAACCGTTAGGTAAAAGAGGAAGAAAAAAGGAAACAACAAAAATAGGACAAAAAAAACAAACAACAAAAAACAAAAAGTGAATGAGTGGGGGGAAGAGAAAGAAAAAATAGAGTGAGAAACAATAAAGAATGGAACATAAAAAAAGGAAAAGAAACGTATATCCCAAGCCCTCGACACCCGCCCGCTTCGTCATCGATCGTGCCCTTTTAGGGGTGTATTTTCCTTACCTGCAATGTGTCTTTCGTGCAGCCCCTAAGGCAGGGGAAAGAGGACGGATGGAAAGGAAGGGAGAATGGGCAGGCGGGTTGCTGAAGCGTGCGTCCTGCATGAACCGCAAGAAAGTTTCAAGCGGTAGCGCTACTTCCAAATAGACCGCTAGGAAATTCACAGCGAGAGTGCGATTGCTGAGTGTCGTGCGCTTCGTCTGTATCAATTGCAAGGAAGTCCCACGTGAGCGCGCGATTCCTGCATACATTGCGAGGCAGGCCCGCGCCAGAGCGCGATTTGGGAATCCATTCCGAGGAGGTATCAGGCGGGAGCCGTTGTTGCTGTACGCCAGGGGCCAGGGGCACTGTGTGCTCTAGAAGACATATGATTACCGGAGGGGGGCCGGGCGCCAGGGGCCATGGTTACCAGGAAGGGATTAGCAATCTTTGCTTTAGACGAAATATGATTCCAACCACAACAACGACAACAACAAAAACAACAGCAACAGCAACAGCAGCAGCATTCACAGCAACAACAAAACAGCATAAAACACCGAAACCAACAACAACAACAACAGCAACAACAACAGCAACAACAATAACAACAACCAACAACAACAACAACAACAACAACAACAACAACAACAACAATTACTAGCACGTGGGGACACTCCGTTCTCACCAGTGCCAGGGTTTTCATAGGAGGCGGGCAATACCCCCACTTTGTGGTGGGGCCGGTTCAAGCTCTACCAAATTTCCAAACGACTCTTCGCCACCACCCACACCCAGCTTCCCGCCCTATGACGTTCGGACACTTCTCTTCGTGGCATGCGGACGACCGTGGCTACTATTCAGGGCCCCGCGGCCGACGACGACGGCGTGCGCGCGCGAAGAAAAAACGAATGTTTCCCGCATGGTATTATTTGACAGGGATGATGGCCCTGGCAGGTGCGCAACCGTTGTCGCAGAAGTTCGAAAAAGTTGCTCGCAAAAGCCCGTTTGACAGAAATGTTTAAAAAGTGTTGGGTTTCCTCCGAATCCGCAAGAGCGCGCGGGATGAGATTTTGACAATTTTTTGTTGAAAAACCATTGGTTTTTTTGATGTTTTTATGTTAAAATCGCTGCGAACACTAAGGTTTTGGAAGGATTTCGTCTTGCGCGCGCGAATGTCCACTTTACCTTATTTTTTGCAAGGGAATCTTGAAATTTGATTATATTAGAACAAGAAATGTCATTTTCTATTGTTTTTTGCAAGGGAAAGCGGATTACAACAAAACAACCGGATCCTGTACACACCCTCTTTTCTGATGCTTCCTCACGAAAATGATGAAAATGTAGCTGCGGCCTAGGCGGCGCAGGGGGGGCGCGCACCAGGGGGCCCAACAATAATTATTCTTTAGAATAAATAATGTTCAACAACAACAACAACAACAACAACAACAACAACAACAACACTTACTAGCACGTGGGGACACTCCGTTCTCACCAGTGCCAGGGTTTTCATAGGAGGCGGGCAATCCCCCCACTTTGTGGGGGGGCCGGTTCAAGCTCTACCAAATTTCCAAACGACTCTTCGCCACCACCCACACCCAGCTTCCCGCCCTATGACGTTCGGACACTTCACTTCGTGGCATGCGGACGACCGTGGCTACTATCAGGGCCCCGCGGCCGACGACGACGGCGTGCGCGCGCGAAGAAAAAACGAATGTGTCCCGCATGGTATTATTTGACAGGGATGATGGCCCTGGCAGGTGCGCAACCGTTGTTGCAGAAGTTCGAAAAAGTTTCTCGCAAAAGCCCGTTTGACAGAAATGTTTAAAAAGTGTTGGGTTTCCTACGAATCCGCAAGAGCGCGCGGGATGAGATTTTGACGTTTTTTTGTTGAAAAACCATTGGTTTTTTGATGTTTTTATGTTAAAATCGTTCCGAACACTAAGCTTTTGGAAGGATTTCGCCTTGCGCGCGCGAATGTCCACTTTACCTTATTTTTTGCAAGGGATTCTTGAAATTTGATTATATTAGAACAAGAAATGTCATTTTCTATTGTTTTTTTGCAAGGGAAAGCGGATTACAACAAAACAACCGGATCCTGTACACACCCTCTTTTCTGAGGCTTCCTCACGAAAATGATGAAAATGTAGCTGCGGCCTAGGCGGCGCAGGGGGGGCGCGCACCAGGGGGCCCAACAATAATTATTCTTTGGAATAAGTAATGTTCAACAACAACGACAACAACGACAACAACAACAGTCGGCACCGCGGAACCTAACTTCAGCCACGCGCCCAGGGAAAGTGAATGACCGCTCGGCCCCATCACTCTGACAAAGCCTGGGGAAGGGAGGCTTCCGTGGCTCCTCCCACCCCTCCCCCTCCCGAGGCCCTCCCACCCCCCGCACCCGCCCGAGCGCGGTGCTGGAATCGCGCGGCAGCGCAACCGGATTCTCAAGCTTGAGGTCGCGGTGCACCACGGACTGGGCGTGCAGGTATGCCACCGCCAGCAGCATCTGCCGAGTGGTGTCGGCCGCCGCCTCCTCGGTGTACTGCTTCCTCTCCGAGAGCCGGTCGTAGAGCTCGCCGCCGGCCATGAACTCCATGACAAGGTGAAGCTCCTCGTCAGTCTCGTACACCATCTCCAGGCGGGCCACGTGGGGATGGTCCAAGCAAATGTAAATCTCGACCTCGCTCTGCAGCTCCGCGCGCTTCTTCGCGCTCATGCCCCTCTTCTTGAAACTCTTCACGGCGTACTTGATGTTGCCGCCCCGGCCCGTGACGGGGTCCCGGCTCGTGGCCATCTGCACCGGCCCGTTCATGCCGGAGCCCACCACCCTGGAATCGATGACAAAGTCCTTGGGATGACCAAGAAAGTACTGGTGTTCATATATATTTATGACATATATGTATATATATATAATATATATATATATATATATATATATATATATATATATATATATTTATACCGCTACTCCCGGGGCCTCTCGCGGGGCGCGTTCTGACCAGGATTATAAGGCGAATCCGGCGGTGGCGACGAGGGCCACCCAGGATGCCCGAAAAGGGGGACAGCGAGGGAAGGGCAGCGGTATCGGTACCTATTCTTTGGCCGACCCAAAGGGGGCCCAGCTGAAAGGGGGTGGTGCAATAGATTTGGGGCAATTGTGCTGCAAATGCAGTGCGCCGGAGAGCTGCATTGCATTGAATTGGGACGAATGCGTTGCACGCGAAAGTCCAGCAGTACACTTGCGCCCCAGTGTTGCACGCCCCAAATGTGTCGCACGCCCCGCAAATCGACTGCACCAAAGCTACTGCACCACCCCCTTGCCGCTGGACCCCCTTTTTGTCGGGGGCGTCCACGAAGGGGGGCGTCCAAGAGGGTGGGGGGGGGGCGCAAATCAGGACCGGCGGCATGTGCGCGGCCCACGGGGGGGCCAAGGACGTCATGAAGACATGAGGAGGCGCCGTGGAACCCGGGGACATACCATGGCCCACACCATGAGATCCACCCCGCCCCCCTGTGCATCACCCCCCTCTTTGACGCCCCCGATTTTGGGTTAACCCGATTTTCCCCCTCTGCGTCCTGTGAGGTCGGGCGCGTCCCCCTACAAGCGGATGTTCGACGAACCCCCCCTCCCCCAAAAAAAACATAACTAGTCAAGAATAGTAAACCCATCGCCCCCGGACCATTTTTGCAAACTATGTTGGACCCTTCCTCCTCTAGAGGGACAGGCCCGACTCGAGAGTCCTGCTCTATCCTCCGGGAGCTGCTGTAGCGCCCCTGCACGGGCAGGTTCCCCCGCCGCTCCGCCACCGCGGCCGCGTCCACCACGGTGTCCGTGGCCGCCGCCCCCGGCGCCCCGCCGGCGCCCGCCTGCTCCGCCAGGGCCGCCGAGCGCCCGGCGCCCATCGCCGCGGGGCGGCGGGGCGGCGGGGGCGGGGGGGGGGTGCGGATCCTGGACCACAACCGGCACAACACCGCGAGAATACAACACGGAGATAACGCGACATCGGCGCGTCACCACGACGACGTGAAAAAGCTCCGCACGCCCAGGATCGGCCAGCCGTGTGAGAGAGTGAAGGGCTCTCGGCCGGAGCGCGACGCCCCGCGCAAGGGCCAGGGCCAGGGGCCCCGACGGCCACGGTCACGGAGGGCGGGAAGCTACAGCTAGGGCGGCCAGGAGAAGGGGGGGGGCCCTGGACCACGGGAAGTGGACCGCGGCCGGGGGGAGGGGAGGGGGCTTTGGGCGCCCGACATGGGCACGGAAACAATGGGCACAAAGCCCAACAGCAAATGTTGTCCCGAACCAACAGCGGCCGCTGTGGGGCAGGCGGCCTTCTGCCTCGAATGGACACAGGCCGCGGCGACACCGACAGCGAATCCCGTTCAAAATGAACAGGATCCGCTGTTGAGCATTGTACCCATTTATTCCGTACCCATTTCGGGCGTCCAGAGGGGCGCATGCCAGGAGGGGGAGGGGAGGAAGGGGGGGCGGGAGGGGGGGGGGGCAAGCGGCAGCATGCCAGGGGGAGGGGGGGAGGGGGAAGGCGGGGCGGAGCGGGGGCGGGGTGGGTCAAGGGAAGGCGGGCGAGGCCGACGGGCCGCGGGCGAGCCAAAGTGAAGGGGCACGGGGTGGCGGGGACAGGGGGGGGGGGGCAGACGGGCGCGGCCCCGGGCCAGGAGGACGGCGCCAGGGCGCCGCGGCCCGGTGGAGGGGCAGGTCCCTGGGCATGGGGGTGGCGGCCGCGTGGGGGCGGGCGGGTGGGGGGACAAAAGAGGGCAGAGGATCCACCCCGCAACAAACACGCCGACGAGCGAAGCCGTTCAGCAAACGCACCTCGAGGACGGAAGCCAGCATCGCAGGGCTGTGTGGTAGACGCCCAGGGCCGTGTAGTGAGCGTCAGTGGTCGGGTCCAGGTGATGCTTCCTCCCTCGAGTGGAGGGGGGAGGAAAGCAGGCGGGCAGGCCAGGGACACGGGAGGGGTGGCGGGCTCACCTGCGCGAGCGTAGAAAAGCTACTCCTCGGATGAGCTGGCCCGGAGGGGCTTCATGTTGCACCCGCAGCTGAAGTCGAAGCCAGAGTTCGAGTGCACAGAACTTTGGAAAGAGCCCCTTCTGCAGGCCTGGTGGGCAGCGAGACAGCGCGTGGGACGGAGGGCGCGTGGGCGTAGCCCTGAGCGGTGGGGGGGGGCGCCCACGAACGAACGCACGAAAACGCTCCCAAACCGTATGACTGTCTATGTGTTGCTGCCTCATGGTCCTTTCCCGTCCCGTGGGTTCCGGAGGCCTCAAGATGGTTCCACGATGGCTGAAGAGAGCCCCAGTACTGTTCCAAGAGAGACAAAAAGGCCCCAAGAGACGACGTCTGTGGCCCCCACTCTTTGATAGATGCCCTTCCGGTTGGGCCTAATTGAGTCTCCAGTGCCCGCCCCAGGGCCCGAAAAGCCAAGAGGCCCTGGCCCCAAGAGGGCTCATGATAGCCCAAGATGGCCTCAGACTGTGGTCGCCTTCGACGATGGTTCCCTCCCAACAGAAGGGTAGCACCCAGACGCCCCTTGCTCCCTTGTTTCCGCTCAGTGGCTGCATTCTGTTTGGGCATCATTCGTGGATGGGCTGGCAGGGGCGCGCCAAGCTTTACAGGTCGGTGTCGCCCAGGTCAGTGGGTCTGGCTATAGATCCAGATGGCAGTGCGCTCCTTCTTTGAGTTTGTCCGACGTGCATTCGATGGCCTGAAGGACATGCTGACGTATGGCTCAAGGCTTTCGCCCTCGACTATCGCTTTGATTTCGCTGTGCACGCAGCCCGCTCTGAAACCCAGCCGAGGCTGCACTTGCGCCGTTGATGGGGAGCTCCAGAGCTTGCGCCGCTGGCAAGGCCCGTGTGGCGCCGCATGCCACTTTCGGCACAGCCCTCCCACGAGTGGTCCCGTCCGCATCGCCCGGGGACCACTTCCCTCGCGGCGCGCTGCCTGTGAGGAGCGGGCCATCTCCCGCGGCGCTCGCGGCTGCACTGGGCCCAAGTTCTTCGCCAACCGATTTTCAGCTCGCAAATCTGAAGCCCCGTGCATGACTACCGCACTTCCAGCTGCTACCTTTACCTGCTGTGAAACCAGTACGCACCATATTAAGCATCGCCAAGCCACCATGATTCAAGAGCTCGCGCGGGTTCCGCCTCCTACGTTTTCTCCTCCTCCTCCTCCTCCTCCTCCTCCTCCCTCCTCCTCACCCCTCCTCCTCCTCTCCTTCTCCTCCTCCCCCTCCTCCTCCCCCTCCTCTTCCCCCTCCTCCTCCTCCGCCACCTCCTCCTCCCCTTCCTCCTCCTCCTCTCCTCCGCCTGCTCCTCTCCTCCTTCTCCTCCTCCTCTTCTCTCCTCGCTCCTCCTCCTTCTCCCCTCCTCCTCCTCCTCCTCCTCCTCCTCCTCCTCCTCCCCGTCCCGGCGTGGCGCAACGACTCTGTGCGCTTGCCATCCTCTGACCATTCCCGCACGGCGAGCTTCGTGTTGAGCAGCGCGGAGAGCTGGCAGCTCATCCCTCCTCGTGCCCCTCGCCCTGGTCCTCCGCCCCCGCCTCCTCGTCGAGGTCCGCCTCCACCTGCCTGCTCTTCCTCCTCCCTCCTGCTCGTCCTCCGCCCTCCTGTTCCTCGTGGGCAACGCCCCGTTCATTCTCGGCGTCCCCCTCCCCCCCCCCGGGTGAACAAAGCGGCGCCGCGGCGCAGATGTCGCGACTCCCTGGACCTCTGCTCGGGGAGGCGAATCTGGGCGTGGCGACGCAGGCCACCTAGGAGACCCACGGAGATAACTCCGAGGGAAGCGTACCTCGTCCTTCTCTAACCGTGCTCCTCCGCGACGTACTACGGGGGAACAACACAGATACCGATACCGCTGCTTCCCGGACCTCTGCCAGGGTACGCTTTGACCAAACATTCGACGTCTGACGGTTAGAGTCACCGACGGGCAACCTAAGAAAAACAAGTTCGGAATCATATACCAAGAGGGCGACGTGGCCCTCGAGAGAGAGAGAGAGAGAGACGGCCCTGGATCAGCAACTTCACCGGAAAAGCAAGAAGACGACGTGGCCCTCGAGAGAAAAACGGACCTGGATCCGGCAGATCCAAGGAACGGAATTCACCGCTTCTGGGCCCACCAAATACACGCCGACCACCACTGGCAGGCGAAGTGCCTCCTCGACGTCCCACCGCACCCTCCTCCTCCTCCTCCTCCTCCTCCTCCTTCTC